TCTGCTTGGGAATATAGATAAAATATATATTTAAAATATTTTTTTAAATAAAAAAACTCTGCAGATGGTTTAATTTTGGCTTAACTCCATGCCATAACTAGAATGGGGTTACTTTTTAGTTGGCAATCAGTTACACAAGTATGTTGCAGTCATGATGGCTTCAGACCAATAGCGTTTAGGCATATTAGCTTCTAAAAGTATAGTGACTGCCATCTCCTTGAGAGTTCTATTCATTCTCTCTGCCGAACATTTTGTTCTGGAGAATAAGCCTGTGTTATATGATGCTCAATGCCATGTTCCTTTAAAAAATCATCAAATTCAGCATTAACAAATTCATTTCCATTGTCTGTGCACAGACCCTTTGGTTTATAGTCAAATTTGTTAGAGACTTGATTAAAGCACTCTTTTAATTTTTGAAATGCTTGACTCTTCTCTCTGAGATGGTAAGTAAATGTGTATCTGCTAAAAGTTTCCTCTTGCTGATTTTTGATTAATTGGTCCAGAAAGATCAGCATGTAAAAGATCCAATGCCTTGTTGATTGTCTCTCAGTAACTGGAGGGTGTGGTGCTCTTGTGACCTTTGCTTTTAAACATTATACACATTTTTCATTATTGGAGCATGCTTTGGACTTAAAGTCTCTTGCAAGCTCTTGATTAGCCAGTCTCTTAATATTTTTTATACTTTGATATAAGCAAATCTGCAATGTCATAAAGCTGAACAGTCTTTGTGATTACATTGGGTCACACTGTTTGCAGATGAATGCAAAATCTGTACCTGATAACAACCATGAGATCCTAAGTCTGCTCTAAAAATCAATTTTTTTGCCATGAAAACCAAAGCAGGATTGCTTTCTGAAACTGACACGGTTGCCTCTTGATGTTGTGGTTTGCACACTGTAAAAGGAGGCTGGCAAATCTGGTACATAGTAAGCATCAGGGATTTGTAAGATTCCTATTCTGTCAGGACCAAGATTTGTTTGCAAAATAACAGTCCCTTTTCCTTGTGAAAAACTTCTTGACCATTAGAAGATATACAGGAAAAGTTACATTTGCATCAAAACCAACAAACCAATTTTTGCTGTTCAAGTAATGTGCACTTGCTCCACTATCAATAAAAACTTGGTTTTTATATTTATCTCCAGCAATTTGAAATAATTGTTGTTGAATCAAACCAATATCAACATGACTGGAAGATTTCTGTTTAGGATTAAAAGCTTATTTCTTGAAGTTGCTTTTGCTTTTGGTCAGGGGTAGGCAACCTTTCCCCTTTAAGGGCCGAGGGACTTCAGCTCCCAGAAGCCTCAGCCATGTTGGCCAATAGTCCAATGTTGGCCAATAGCTCCTGGGATTCTGGGAGCTGAAGTCCCTCAGCCCTTAAAGAGGAAAGGTTGTCTACCCCTGCTTTTGGTATTCAGTCCCTGATTTTGCAGCTTTTGTAGTTCAGCTCTTGGCTTTGACTTTTTAACATTGCTTCTATTTGATTTACAAGAAAAGGAAGTCTTTTTTTTTAATCCTCTGCAGCAAATTGAGCTAATTCTCTGTCTGTCATTTTTGTATTATAGTTGTCTTCCATCAAGTCTTGTCTATTTTGAAATTCAAGAATTTGATCAATGGCATCTTGTAAAGAAACATCTCCTTTAACATGTAAAGCATTGATTATTGGAGAGTAATATTTTGGAAGACTTGCCAAAAACAGTCCAAGTTTTGCATGTTCTGGAAAGGATTCTCCAGCTGCTGTAATTCCAGACAAAGTTATCATAAAGCCATTAATATGCTGATTTAAAAACTGAGGATGATGCAACTTGGTGTTAACAAGTTTGATCATGAGAGCTGTTTGATTAGAAGTACTTGTAGAATCAAACATTTTGTTTAGTTTGTCCCATATTTGTTTTGCATCAATTAAACCTGGAATATGGTATGCAATGCTGAATCTACAGGCAAGCAAATATAAACTACTTCTTTCTCTGCATTTTCATCAAATTATTGTTTCTGTATTCCTGCTTCTGTGGGTCTCTGCCCATTTATTGCTTTAAATAGTCCCATAGTAGTCAGGTACATTTGTATTTTTCATGACCACATTTTATAATTTGTTCCAGTTAAAATTTCAATAATCATTGTGGGGTTAGGTTTAGAAGAAGCCATTCTCTATTATTTGAGTAGGAAAAAATCTTTCTTGTAATCAGTATCTTCAGGAGAAGTATTTTTAAAATAATCTGGAACCTCTTCTGAGACCTCACTGGGTCTGGACTAGGACCCATTCTGGGTCCATAACCCAAAAATATGGGGTGCAATTTGAGTTTCCTAGGGTATTAACCCTTTTAAAGGGAAACAAAAATATGCAGGTATGAAAGTTAAACTTGTTAGAGTTCAGCTTTCATCAGCAGAACAACAAAAGTGTAGGTCAGACTATTATTTTAAATCTGTCTTCCTAAAGAATAAGGACTTAATAAAAAAAACAACCATGCAGTTTGTAGTTTAAAAAACAAACAATAATGACTAATAAATAAATACATAAAATAACTAAAATCTGATCTAACTGGTGGTGGTGATGATGATGATACTAATAATAATAATAAAATTTATTTGTACCCCGCCCCTCTGCTTAGTAATCGGGGCGGCTTCCAACATAAAAATACAATACAATAAAATCAACCCCAAGCCCCAACCCTCCCAACCCTTAAAAAATTATTAAACAGCATCAAAATTTAAAACAGTTTAAAATAAATTACAAATTTACAAATTACAATAATTGCAGCAGCAGAGGGTATAACAGCAGCTGGGATGGGGGGAAAAGAGGTACAGAGGACAGGTTCTATGACTGGGAGGACTAATCAGGAAAGACCTGCCAGAAGAGATCCAGAAGAGATGGCTTGGGTAAAGAGAAATAAATCTCACCATCTTTTAGAAAGCAGAGAGATGGAAAAAGATACTGCTTACTGACTGCTGACTGCAGTTACAAGCAGTTTAGAATCTTGGGAGAGAGCTGTTAAACTGTCTCCAAGAATGAGTGACAGGAGCCACATGTTTAGCTAGAATGAGAAAGAGAGAGTCCCTATCTATATAAGGAGAGAGAGAAGAATGCAAACATAATTTTTCCCAACAAAAACCTTTATTTCCAAAAGCAGTAGATAGCTCTATACTACTTACTGGGAGGTGGGGGAGGTAGCGAAGAGGGACTGTTGCCTTTATGCTGCATTTTTGGCTTCCCAAATGCATCTGACCCATGACAGAATTGCTCTTATAGCTCTCATGCTCCAAGAATCTTCCTGATCTTCCCTTTTCATTCTGTCTACACACATTTTCTTTCTCACCACCACCACCATCCCTTGCATGTTGAATAGCAGCTGCAGCAATGCCCTCTTGTGTACTTCTGTTAAAACCCATTTTTCCCTTCCCTTCTGGTTGTTCTTCTTGATTACTGCTCCCTTTAACTATCGTCTTCCTAACTTGTATCTATCTCCTAGCCTGTATCAAAACTGTAGATATGGAGGGATATGGAGGGAGGTCAAAATTAAGGTATTGCCCCCCCAAATAAGCACTCTGTTCCTCAAACTAATTTTCCTTCAGTCTTCAAATTTCTAGCATTACAGAGATTGAGACAATGAAAACCATTCACACCTAGAAATGTTGTATTTACTGTGTTCACACTTTCCCTTCCTGTGTCTGTCCCTTTTTTTATATATACCTAAACTGTATTTATAAATGCTCAACTGAAGTTTTAACTTTCTCCAATGCTAGAAATTTGGGGACTGAAGGAAATTTTCATTGGAGGGGGGCAACATCCTCATTCCATTCCCACCCCTTAGCTACATCCTTGATTTGTGTTGTCCTCTTCTAGTTCCATATCCAGCTCCTTTCACCTCTATCTCTTCTTCTATGTAAGTTATGTTCAAAAATAGAATACAATGGAAACTCAGGTTAAAGCATGCTGGGAATTAAAGTTTCACAGGCTGTCAGCCTTTGTTTGGGAAACAAAATATTTAAAAAAATCAAAGCTAAACCCATTAGGACTTAGCTTTCTTTAACAGAGTAGCAGGATAAAATGTGCCCAAATCTGACATTGCTTCAACTGAGAACTGAAAATGATTAAAAATAAACAAAAAAGGCCATTTCAGGTTACACATTTTGAAAAGTTTACTAATGGATTTGCATGTACATATGCATGGGGGAGCCTACATCCTATGTATCTAATGAATAGATTATATAGATAGAAAGAGCTTGAATCTTTAACTCACTATCTCAGTGATCCAGAAAGGAAGAGGTAGAGGAGAAGAGAAACTGAGAAGAGGGAGTCTCTGTATGACAAATATCCCAAAGAAGTGTCCTTGGTCATATGGTCTATTTATTGATTATAAAAGGTATGTATGACCATGCAGAGGATAGCAAGAGCAAATGGGATGAGGAAAAATAGAAGGATTTCACATACAGGAAATGTTATCCTATCTAAACTCCACTTGTTCTAAACAGCAAGAGAGAGAATACTGGAATTTTCTCAATAGGTACACTTTCCATTTGAACAGCATTCCTGTGAAGCTACTAATAAGTTATGTGCAAAATGGTGTAGTGGTTTGAATGTTGGACTACTACTCTGGAGACCAGGGTTTGATTCCTTGTTTGGAAACCCATTGGGTGACCTCGAGTGGGTGACAAACTCTCGGCCTCAGAATACCCCATGATAGGTTCATCTTAGGGTCTCCATCAGTCAGAATCAACTTGAAGGTACACAATAACAACAACCATGTAAAGATGCCTTGATTTTGTTTTTAAATATCTGGGCCCTGAGTCGGTGATGTATTACTTTGTGCCATGCAATTCTTGGAAAACCACATTGAAAATCAGGTTAGAAAGATCTGTGCAGAGCTGGCCGGTGGCTTCCATGTCAGTGGGACAGTTAATCCATCCCAGGTTTTATTCCAAACATTAAAAGAGCTGTTCAAAGTCCCAGACCTATTGGGGGATAGCATTCAGAGATAGGGACAGCTTCTTTAAAGTTCAGACTGGAACATACAGCAGACTTATCATGGCACTGGCATGAAACTTGCCACTATATCTGTGCAAGCAAGTGGCACTAAGTGCATCACAGTGGCATCCTCTCTTTAAAGAGTTTATAGCAGTGGTGCAAAAATTCAGATCTTTAGTAGACTCTGGGGCCAAACAATTAGGCCAAATTGGTATATAGATTATGACATAGGGCAGGGCAGTGAAGTTTGTAGGCTAACCTGATTTTAGAAAATGTCATTGATGCTTAAGTTCTGTATTCCTAGTTTACCTCTGCTTCTGGGTGTGTAACATATGTTTGCATGCACATATGAGAGAGATAATTTTTGAAAAGCTATGGAATACATAACCCCACATGTAGATTTCTCTCTCTCTCTCTCTCATTGTTTGTCTAATATGCACACAAACAGTTTTTAAGTTTTAAAAGTTATTACGTTTATCTTAAACTACCTCATACCTTTTTCCAAAGCTAAGTGTAATAAGAGGAGTTTATGATAAATTTGGATAATGAATTGGAGCAGCACTAGGCTGAGAAATTAAATGGGAGGATACATTATCTGAAGAAGATCTTCTGGGGTGGGTTGAGAGTGGGAGGCAAGTTAATAGCAGGATTTATTTAGAGTGATTTGGCTTGGCAATCAAGTACAGATTTGCCTTCTGTGAAATTTCAGTACATTCTGATTATTATTTTTAAGTTTGTATCTATACATAGAAGGTACCATATTATTATTCTTCAGCTTTGATCCCCTCTGCAAAATAAATAAGTAAATAAAAATCCCTGCAAGTCGATATCTAATATAGCAGTGGAAAGGCTTTCCTAGAAAATTTTTCTCAGAACTAGCTTCAGCCTCATAGCCAACTTCAGGGATCATTTTTAACGAGAAGGAATATAACTACCTTAGGAATCTGTCTCCTGTCATTAAGTTCCACTGACTGTGTACCAGTCCTGAAAGGGTATCTTAGAATCACAGAGTTGGAAGAGACCACAATCTTCACTTTAGTGTTCAAAGTTGTATCTTTCACTTTATGATCTTCTCCAGTTCTTTCATAGCTGTCCTTCCCAATCCTAGTCTTCTTCTGATTTCTTGACTGCAGTCTTCATTCTGGTCAAAATTTGATCCAAGGTATGGGACTATTTTGACTATTTCAATTTTCCCGTTGTCTAGGATGAATTCTTATAGATCTTCTGTGGATATTTTTTTTTGTTTTTTAAAAATGTTCAGCATAAATCCAACCTTGGCACTTTCCTCCTTGACCTCCTTCAGTAATTGCTCCAGGTCTTTGATTCTGCTAGTAGTATTGTGTTGTCTGTATGTCTTGTTAATGTTCCTTCCTTCTATCTTCACTCCTCCTGTCTCTGAGTAAGGGGCTATACAGATGGCTTCTAAGGGATGGCTCTGTGCCACCCCTGGGAGTGCTGGATCGGGGCTACAGCAACTGCACACTGCAGCCCCAATCCAGCACTTTGCCGCTCCAAAAAGAACTGGCCAATACTGCTCCTTTTTGGAGCAGCAAAAAGCCACCCTTCCTGCCACCACCGCAGATCTTCTGTGCTCCTTTGGTGCAGCATGTCTGTACACTGTGCCAAGGGAGAGCCCTGATGTCATGTAGCATGCGGAGGGGTGCGTAGTGTGGTGACAGCATCAGGGCAGAGTCAGGGTGGCCGGCGTCTGGTCACCCCACCCCAACTCCACCCCCAGGTCAACCCTTGTGGCCAGTCTGTACAGGCCCCAAGTCTGCTCTGCCTAGGACACGGACCGGCAACCTTTTGGAGACCTGGGCCGGTCTCCCATAGCCCAGGTCTTGGCTGGACCAAGGGGGGGGATGGCCACGCACGGCCCCCCCACATGCCGCCGCTGTGCGTGGCGTGGCGGCGGCTGCATGTACGGGGGG